CTCATTTTAACGACGTCCGTTCGCCAAGACTGCGCGCGCTTCCCGCCACGCGGGCTGCATGCTGGACTGATTCGCGCGAGCGTCACGCAACGTGACGGGCGGCTGAGTTCACCAAGCGCAGCACAGTCTGATGATGGCACTCTCTAGCTCATCACCCCCAATAATTCAGATATCTTCGGTGAATAATTGGCGTGATAATGCGCCAGATGAAGTGGTGGCGGGAGGATAGAGAAAGAAGAAGCGGTTACAGCGTTTAGAAACACAGACTGAAAAAAAAAACTGTGAAAACAGTTACATTTATTACTCTCTCTCTCTCTCTCTCTCTCTCTCACACACACACACACACATATGCAGTTACAGTTTTTGTCTGGATGTTCATGGACTTTGATTTTGCAGGTGCTCAGTGATCACATACATAAAGCATGAAAGTTTATGATCAATAATGGAAAATGATCATTGTGTGGCCTGAGGTAATACATCTTGATTTAGTCCTAAACGTCTGACAATGAACCAATAACTATAATGCTTTCAGACACGAGATCACACACAAAGTGCTACTGTAGGTTTATGCAAAAGTCATCATTTTTTTGTTTTTTACTTAAAAGGGGTATTTTTAAATGTGTGATTACAGATGACACAGTCGGCGAGACATGCTTTTTACAGCTCTTCTCTTTATTATGTTTTCACTTTCTGTGAATGATCAGCATGTTGAAGCCTAAAATAATTAGCCTCTTAAGTAACTTAGATCAGTGATTCCCTACTAGAGGTGCACTGACACCAGAGCCACTTAAAAAGGTTTCAGGGATTACCTGGAAAGATTTAGGTATAAAACAAAATAGTATGTAATGTGTGCATAAAGTACACTTGGTGAGATTATCTTACACCAACATTATTGTTTTTAAGTGACTAACAATACAGTTAATGCTAAATGATATCCAGTGTAATATGAGTTCAAAAGAAACACATTTATGGTTTGCTGATTGAGCCAAATTCATAGGAAACACTGTTTTAGATTATATCAATGATTTTTAAGTCAGCTAAGGCTGCTCTGAGTAATTTGGTCTGAACCAACATAGTCTATGAAGCATCACTAAATGAATCACTTAAATACTGAATTAATTAGGTGTTGATTTAATATGAGAACAAAATATTCCTCGATTTAAAAACTGATGTGCACCTGATGTGCTCACAGGTGCTGTAGCTACTTAATCATATACTGTAATGTAGTCTGCGTTTTCTTACACTCTTAAAATGAAATGTTCCTTAGTGGTTTATTGCAGCACCTTATGATCAGCAAAGAGCCTTTTTTGTCATTTTTGTTATATAGGATTCTTGAGTCATTTATATGCTTTTTTTTGGGGAGATTAAAAAGTTATTTATATTAAATTTCTTCATATCAGCATACTGGCTTCTGGCTCTTTTAAAGCATCATTAGATAGCTTAATAAATAAACAAGATAAAACGTTATTTGTGAAACTTAAGGTTCTTATATAAGGCACCAGGATTGTTCTAATTGGAATCTGTATCTTTCAGAGTGTATTTGCCTGCATTCAGAAGTACTAATATAATTACGATTCAAACAGATGCACGTGCACAAACACCTGTTCTTAAAATGACAGACATATGTATGCATAAATAAATGTATGTGTTTTATGAATCAGACCGGTTCTGCTATAAAACACTATGTATCATCACGAAGTTGTTGCCTAGTTGCTAAAACAAAGAGAGAGAGAGCGAGTGTAAACGTGTAGTACAGAGCATAGCACGCTCCGTTACTCCGGTAACAGCGTGTGGCGCTGAGCGATAGCGGCTCGCTCTTTCCTTCTTTCTCCCTCCCGTGTTTTGTTGATTGGTGTTTTCGTCGTGTTCACTCTTTTCTGGCGGATTGTTACTTGTAACAAAAGCGAAGCACCCTCGCGCGCGTACAGCTGCTCACTTCACGCGCATCTTTGGCTCGCGCCTCGTCTTGTTGCATGGTGTTTCTGGGAGCCGACGCGGGTCAACCAATGCAGAAAAGGGAGAAAAGTTTCGGTAAGAGCTGCGTTTTGCATCCAATCAACGCGAGTGTGATGTGTTTAAATGTGTGGCTGAGTAGTTGGGATGTTTCTATGCGTATAGCAGCAGTTGTGTCGAACCTCATACAGCCTCATTTTACCGAAGCGACGCGTTTTCCTCATTTGCCCCGTGTGAATTGTCGTGGTTTGCTTAGACATTTGTGAATAACGTTTAATATGATGTGCAGTCGCGTATCACCGTTTCTAACACGTTAACGGTTTAATTTTGCCGTTTTGCAAGCTGCAAATCTTATTGGCCTTTTCCGTGCACTACGCTGCCATGGCAACAGTAATTAAACTGTTAAGAGGGTGAAATGCCAGCATCTCCGGCTCGCGCAGATGTGATGTGAAATCAAATTGGTACTTTGCGGCGCCCGGTGTTTGCCAAGTCTCGCCTGAAATTTCCCCATCAGTATCTGCGAACGGTGAGGCGCACAAAGAGCATCGTATCACTATGCGAACGGGACATAATGAAAGATCTGAGTGAGCGAGCAAAGACAAAAAAGATACCATTGTCCCAGGCCTGTAGGAAGGAGAATTTAACGATTTTGGTTGCGAATTCGATTGCGCGTAATGGGTTCGGTTCCGTAACGGTTCCATTAATTATTCTTTTAGTACTCTTGAGGAAGAAATATTTCGGGAGAAACTGCGATTCGCGTTGCATTTACTGCCCTCAACAATCTATTGGCAAATCATGAGATAATTACAGATTTCATCAGCACCGATATTACAAATAGCCTAAGAAATAAATTGAATTCAAAATTCTTCCAAAAGATGTGTTTAGATTGACTTGACGACTTGTAGACTTTTGAGAGGCGGCTTAAATGCAGTCTAATAATTGGTCCTATTTATATAAGTGAAAGTGTTAAACAGAAATGTGGTGACCCATTTCATTAAGCATTCATTTATTTTCATAAAATAGGCCTACTGACTTATAATGTGCCCCTTAAAGTGCTCATCTCATGGCATTCAGTCAGTTTAAGTCTCACGAGCCTTAAGTACAACATAACACAGGAACAGTTCTTGGTTCATTTCGACTCGAATATGACAAAAGTCATTTTTGCGGTTCAGTCAAGTGTCAGCTTAGTTCAGTAACAGCTCCGACTGGTACAAAAGTATATTTGAATCGCTAAAAGAACCGTTTCATAAGAGTCATTAGTTCAGGCTCGGATTACATTGTTCAGTCTACGTGAATTTGATTCACTAAAAAGAACCGACTCATACGAGTCATTCGTTCGGTATTCGGGCTATATCTGTATGTTTTTGATTCACTAAAAAGAACCGGCTCATAAGAGTCATTCTTTATACAATCGAACCACACTGGTCTTGCTGTATGATTCTGAATGACTATAAAGAACCGGTTAAGAGTCAGGAATGCGTTCAGGAATCGGACTAAAGCGGTCGTGCTGTAGATTCAAAGAACAGCAGTGCAGAAAACACTATCAGACTTGTTCAATACAGTGTTCTGCATCAGTAGAAAATCGTTACGAAAATCACTTAGTTTCTGTATATTTTAAAATGGCTACCCAGGCCCAATTCCAGCCTGTTAGATTAATCTTTTGTTCACTATTTGAAATAGAAAAATCAATGAGGCCATGAACATCCCACACTCCCATTAGAAAAAAATAAAAAAAGAATTGGGGATCCAAGCCTGTGAATAGAATGGCTAGTTCGTTTGTGCCACAATCAATTCATTTAGGACTAAACGTGATTGCGGACTGAGGGGAGTTGAAACTCTTTGGCTTGGTAATGAGAGGCGGTGACTTTGTTGTGTTAACCAGGCGAGCTGGGACGGTGCGGATGAGTGGGACAGAACAAGGACACATAGCAGAGGAAATCAGCCGTGTGCTACTCTTACAAACCAATCCAGCCAATTAAAAGCTCAATATTTTAAACACAATAGGACAAACAGTGCGGCGGTGCTACCTGTCTGCTGTGCTTCCTTGCTGTTTTCCCCTCATCAAGCTCTCTCCTTTGAATAAACTCAAAATAAAGCATCATAAAAACGCCAGCGAGGTCGAAGGAATTATCATTATCCCTTGCCTCGTTTTCATTGAATGTTCCTACATCTTAACAAGCATGGTCCTACAGCAGAAAGAAGTTATTCACAGTCTAAGACTATGGTACTGCATCAGATATTTGCTCTAGGCTATAATTATGACCCTAGAGGGATCGGCTACCTGCTGTTCCTTTCCCTGCATTGTAATGCTCAGTTGAATTGAAACAATTTCACACCTGTCCTCAGTCTTACTAATTGGTGCACTGTCTTGTTTATTTTCTGTGAGGGCCAACTGCCACGCTTTTGGCAAATCATTTTTGAAAGTAATTATCGTCAAGGCCACATGTTTAAAAAAAAGAAAGCGGCAAACTCTCTCTCTGTTAGGTAGGGCACAGTCTTAATGGTCTCCAAATGTGTTGACATGCACGACTATTTAAAGGGATAGTGCACTCAAAAATAAATTCCAACATCATTTACTCACCTTTATGTCGTTCCAATATATGTATGACTTTCTTTCTTCAGTAGAATGCAAAAGGGAATGAAAGTGTCAATTCATTTTCATTGCATTATATCCATACAATGAAACAAGTTTCTAATGACATGAGGGTGAGTAATGATGTCAGAATTTTCATTTTGGGATAATCTACCACAAATTTCCTAAATGTTACACCAAATGTTTCACAAACTTTCCTTGTCAAGACAGATTCACACAGCCCAAACAAGGCTTTTTAATCTCATATTCCTCTATGAATGTATTTCAGCGAGATTGCCTGGACAACGCATCACGGCGACGAGTGCATTATAACTATCCCAAGGGAGGTCCTCAATTCAGACAGAGACACTCAATTTACCACAGCTGAGAAATCTCTCGGTGACCCTCTCACTCAAAGTTTGCAATTTCTCACTGCTTGCGCTCTCACCCCCCTACAAGAGCAGCATATACATTAGGTGGAATCTATGGCTCTGACAGCTTCTCCTGCACAAGGTGAGAAATGGGGACTGTCTCAGTGGAAGGACAACTGGGCAGAATCAGACGTGCTTGTAAAAATGTAGGACAAAACCTTTTTGGGCCGGGACAAAAAAAAGAGGGGCCGGAGCGGTGGCATAGGGGGGAGCGGGGTACAGCTTACTCTCCTCTGTATGAAAGGAGAATACTAATTACAGGCCTTCAGCATGAGACCACATTGTTCCCTCTCTACCCAACAAAGCCCTTTCACGCCCTGTAAAGGGCTACACAATGCCTGCTCTGGGGGCAAGCTTTGGCCCCTCCCTTAAAGAGGGGGGAAGAGGAGGATGTTAGCTACATTGGCTTCTTGTTATTGTTGACCAAAAAGTGTTTGTTGATCTCTTGACTGAAATACACAGCACATGATTGACTGTCAAAAGTCACCAGGAACCATGTTCTCACCTTCTTGTCGCCCCTTGTCGCCTATCTTTGTAGGTATACAAATGCTCTCCGTCCAGCCGGACACCAAGCCAAAGGGCTGTGCTGGCTGCAACCGGAAAATCAAGGACCGCTACCTGCTGAAGGCCCTGGACAAGTACTGGCACGAAGACTGCCTGAAGTGTGCCTGCTGCGACTGCCGACTCGGCGAAGTAGGCTCCACGCTGTACACCAAAGCCAACCTCATCCTCTGTCGGAGGGACTACCTACGGTAAGAGAAAAACTTGCTATTTGTGTCATAACACACACCCTAGACACTACAGATTGTAAGTTACAAGATGTCACTGAAAACAGCTGAATCTGTACCACATTCAAAAGAGAACTCTCTAAGGGCCTTGCGTCAAATCCCAAACAAAGTAAGTGCCACAAAAGCCATATTGCTGCTAACACTGGCTTTAATAGCTGCCCTTAATGCCCAGAGTTCTCCCATGCTGTTAGATATCCTTTGCTCTTCATAATAGAAAAGGAGCTCAAAGGGGATCTTTATGAGCCTATAAACTGCTGCCATTTCTGTGAGTTTTCAATGGATTCACTTGTTGTATCCAATCAACACACTGAGGCTTGATAGAGGGGCATTGTTTAGCAAGAGACCACCCTGGTTCTTGTTCAATCAGCTTACCTTTGTCCACAGATGGAAGGGTTTCCTTAGAAACCCAACCTCTCAATTTCTTGCTTTTCTATGTGTGCGCCCAGCATGCATCAGTTTTAAAGCAACAAGTCTGCAAGTATGGATTTTTGGCATACAGACAAATATAGACTCCAGTATCGGTCATCTGTTCACCCCTAAAAATATTCCTCAACCCCCTTCGTTCAACAACTTTTTGTTTTCTCTTAATGAGTAAAAAGGAAAGAGTGCATAAGGTACTTTCTTGTAGGATTGCATGATATGGAGAAAAACATATGCAATCAACTTTTGATGCAATCAAATCAATTTTAGTTGTTTAAAGTAGATTTAAAGCCAGAAAATGATGACACATATTATATGCATATATTCGGTTCTACCTGGGTAAAGAAAGCATCACTCAAACTTCTCAAAGTTACCAGCAAATGATGATATTCTGCAAAAAGAATGAATGACTATCAAATTGAATTCTAAAAACCTTACAGCTCGTTTTTCATGGACTGCCTGAAGAGGTTTATGGTATTTGATTGGCTATATATATATATAAAAAATTATTGTCATTTTAATATATAATTAAATATTAATAAATAAATATTAACATATAACATGAAATATAAAAAAAACTAATAATTCTTAATATATAATTTAAAAAAGTCATATATGTTTTTTCGTCTTACATTGGCATTACTCCTGCTTGACACATGACATCACTAGCATACAGATTTAACATAAGACAATCACATGACTAGCATAAAGATTAATGCATTAAAATTAATTAGCGTTATGATATTTTCAAAATTTGATATCATAAAATATATCATGCAACTTTTTATCTAGTTCTATAATACAGCATTTTGTTCCCTTTTAGTGTCTCTACCTAGTAGTTAAACATGCTCGTGTTATTAAACCCATGTACACACGTGTGCTACGTATGTGTATAAAATTATATAAATGCTTAACGGGACGCTCCAGGGAGTCACAGCTTTTTGAGCGTGCTAGAAGCTACAGTAGGCAGGAGGTGCTTTGAAATGGCACAGTTCATTTAATTTTGGCATGGGCGATGAGAGAGTCTCCATTAGGCGCGGTACACATGCAGGCTTTGGGGAAACGCGACTGTAAAGCATCGCCAGAGGGCCAGAGGCAGACTGAGATTACCATCTCACAGTAAGCCTCATTGACTGTGCCCTGCTAAACTGCATCTTCATTCACGACGACACTCACAAGTTTGTGCCTCAAACAACAGCGGCAACGAGATAGATGTCATTAGGAGATGTGGAGATCCGTCTTCATGGTACAGCGACAGTTTGTACCAGATGCGACTGATAAGGTTCTTGTGCATGTGTATGTTCTGTAATATCTCTTTTAATAATTCTACAACACCACTAGCGAGGGAAGAGAGAGGCCAACTGCGCCCATGTGATTCTTTCATCTTCAAAGTTCAAGGTGACTGAATTGATTCGATTCTAGCCATCATATGAGCGGTCTTCCCGTGCCTCCAGCTCGACGTCTCCTCGCCAGCAGCAAATTAGGGGCGAGTATGGCACGGTCCCAGTTCCTCAAATCACATCTGCAACACAACAAAAGAAAAGCAGCCTCCATTGATAAGCCAATCAATCGCCAGTCCTACAGAGCGCTCCAACGCACTCCCCTCGATTGGATCGTTTCCTTATTTATTTTCTTAAGTTAGTGCTGGCGAGATAAGAGATAGACTTAATCCCTTCCTCTTTGTTCTGTGTTCTATTTCGCCCCTTCTTATTCGGAGTAAATTATGCTTGGATTTATTATACAAGATTCCCCACCCCCACGTCCGCACAAAATCAATCCAGTCCTGTTTAGCAGTGTGGCATGTTATTAAGGCTGACATAACCAGGGTTAATAGAATTCTTCAGGGGTCTACAACCATGAGCGATGTGATCCAACCAGCTGAGAAATAATAATCCCTATCGCAACACACACAAAAACAAATTAAATAAGGAAAAAAAAAGATTTATGCCTTCCTGGATCTGTCTCCCTTAGTACGTATTATCAAATATGATGTGGGGTTTTTTTGTAGTCGAAGGGAGAGGCAGAAATCATTTTGGTGTGGGGAAGGAATATCATTCATGAATATCGATTCATATTCAAAGCATCGAGAAGGCAATTATTGATGGAAAGCATTATCGGGCCCGGCTGAATGCTCATATTGCACTCAAAATATGGGTAAATGGTATTGGCCTGTCATATCAACAAATGATTCTTTTGATACCATGCAGGCACCTCTATTGATGATAAAGGTTATAACCGGTATGCCAATGTTTATGCCGATGCGGTTACATTTCATACCGGGGTGCGATAAAGTTAAAAGGAGTAGACAAAAAAGCGACAGACACATTTAAGTTGAAAAACGGGCAAAAATGAACCCTGTCAGAAAGTAGTTACAGACAAGAAAGCCCAGGATGCAAGCAGGGAGAGGGAAGCTGTTAGGCGTCAGTTATCAGAAAGTAGTTACAGACAAGAAAGCCCAGGATGCAAGCAGGGAGAGGGAAGCTGTTAGGCATCAGTTAATGGAAAACTGTAAATTTCAGGCATCCATTTTAAAGACAGCACAGGGTGACCACTTATTTATTTATCTATCTATTCATTCATTTTTTTTTAATCCAACTTCAATTTTCCTCTACAGTGGTTTTACTAAGATTGTAAATGCAAGCAAACTCACAGAGCAGTCAACATGACTGGATTTATTACCGTTATGGAAAGCTGGCTATCTGTGAAAGATAACCAACATGTAAAGCATGGTTTGGTTGTAATAACTTGTATTTTTTTCCCCTTTTGCCCCTCATTCAGGAACCACTTTGTGGTCCCCATCTACCTTGTGCTGTGTAAACTTTTGGAAATGAACCATAAAAATGTATCTCTCACTTTTTCATAGAGTATTTGCATCTGGAGTCACACCGTAGATTGTATGCATTTATGGATGTGCCATATGTTTATCTGTAGGTCAACAAAATGTGAGTAATCTTTGAAGTCAGGAACTTTGACAAATTGAGCTCAACGGAATTGGTTTTGTGATTCATTTCGGTTGCACACTTACAGATAAAGTTATAATTACCTAGTTGCTTGATGAAATGATGATTTCAGGATGTACATTTTGAACGAAAGGATGTATTAAGATAAAGTAGTTGTATTAAAAACTGCAGGTGGCTTACACAATTTATAAAAGAAAAAATAGTATACCTCGGATACAATCGCTGCTCTTCACCGCCATGCAAAGTGAAGTTTGGCTACTATCACCCTTGAAAACATGAGAAGCTTCATACTTGGGTCTGTGCCATATAGAAGTCCAAAGAGTCACCAACTAAAGAGACGGAGACAAATTATTGCAAAAAAATAAAAATAAGTCGCAGTATGTGGACTTCAACACAAACTGTGTCCAATCATTCAACACAAACTGTGTCCAATCAGCTATTTTAGTTTAATCTATGTTTTGGGTGCGATTCAGGTGTGCAATGCTCATTTTTTCCCTCACCTAACCTAAGCTAACACTCTACTCTCCTGAAAAGGTCAGAAATGCATAACTTCTTAGTTCAGAAGTTTTCTAGTTCTTCAGTGCTCTAGTTTACGCCCTCAACCGATAAGAGCAATAATTCTTGAATAAAAACGCATTTATTGTAAGCTGATGTGACACTAAAGTAACAAAGTTGCTGCTGTGTTGTCTGTTAAAGGTTAGGCTGGTCTCTCCGGCGGGACTAGCGCAGTGCAGCCCAGTGTAGTTTGTCTTGTGTTTTCCTCAGTCGTTTTGAAGCTAGCTGAAAGATTGAGGCCATCTCTTGTTCTAATGACCAGTGCAGATGTTCACAAACAGTGCAGTGCTCTCTGTCTCTGAAGGGCATTAAGCAGGATTTTGGTTATAACAAACACGGAACACTAAAACAGAGCATTGCTAACATTTCATTTTGTGTTTCTACAGCCAGAATCAGTGTTGGGAAGTAACTATTGTGACAGTAGTTTAGCACTTGTCAAAATACTGAAGCTTTTCTAGTAACATACTGTACACAAGTAGCTAGGTTTTTTATATTTAAATAATTTGCCACTGATGATTCAAACGCGAGTTTTGAGCACTGTAGAGTAGGCTTGTTGTTTTTCCGATCACAAATGCAGACAAGGTTTTATGTTTACGCAGCGCGATACGTAACGCAACACGTAAAAAGACAGTATAAGTCATTATAATCAGTAATTATGTCCCCACTGGATGCAACAAATGCCTCATTTGTAATGGGTTTTATTGGTTTTGTCTCGTCCTGCTGGGACACGGCATCACAGTATGGTAAGGGGCGTAACATTTCCGTCCCACGCTTGAGGCATTCGGCCAATCACAACGCACTGGGATAGCTGGCCAATCAGAGCACACCTCGCTTTTTTAGAATGATGAGCTTTGTAAAAATCGATGCGTTTCAGAAAGGCGGGGCATAGAGGAGAAACAATAATGTACATTATATGGAAAATAATGTGTTTTTTGAACCTTAAACCGCATAAACACATTGCATTACACCAAATACACAAAATAATAAAACATAAAACAAAATTACTAAAACATTAACTATACTTAAAAC